TTTGGCCTCACACTGATTCATTGACCATATTTTCAGTTCAGGACATTTTATTTTAGTTTTTTTTTTTAAGATTATCTCTAGCCATAGCTTTTCATCAGTTTCTCGTTTTGCAGTTTAGTCCAAAGAGTCAGTAAGGTATATACGTGTAATGACAGCTGGATAATTGGATTCAAAGACTTAGCATGTTTAGAATTTTCTTACCTGTTTTCTGGTTCTTGGATTGTTGATTAATAAAGGAACCCCTCACTGCAACTTCCATTTCAAAACTTCATGGGCACTGTCTTGCAGTCTACACAGGGTAGGTGTTTTTTCTGAAAGTAAGGCTTCATAAGTCTCCATCATAAATTTCACACGAAAATTGGAATACACGACTATTTTTCATAGGACGGTTAGGTCTGATGAACTCATTAGCCTACTTACAAGAGGCTGGTCACTCTTTTTTTGAATGCTTTTATTAGATTTACTTGGTGAAGCATGGTCTCCTTCTCTGGAGATATTCAAGACCTGCCTGGACAAGGTCCTCTACTGCCTACTGTAGGCAGGAGGGTTGGACTAGATGACCCACAGAGGTTCCTTCCAACCCCTACCATTCTGTGATTCTGTGATTCTGTGACAATATTCTCTTGACAGGTTCAATTACCAGGAGACCTCCAACTTTGATGTTCAAATAAGCCTAAGAGAAACTGGCCTCTGTAATGCTTGGGAATCAAAATTCAGTGTATACATAGCTCAGAGTGGTGCCTCAAGTCTCAACACTCTTCCTTTGTTCCTTTAATACTGTCTAATAGAGAGAGGAACATGTCCATAATTCTTACCTATGGAAACTGGAAATGCTAAATGAGATTCATTCAACTCTCATCCTTTCTATAGCTTTTATTCCTGTTGAGAAGGGGAGGGGGTTATAAGTTTGCTTAGTTGTAGGCATTTATCTCTCTGTATATGATCTTTAATTCAGCAGTGCCCTGTATTGTTAAGAGACCTTTGCTATAGCTGAACAAAAATCTGCAAGCCAAGTAAATGAACTCAAAACATCCTGTTATTTCCTGTTAGATGAAAATACAAGAGCACTTAAAAGGTCTCAAATGTATGAGTGCTGAAGTGAAACTGTCACCTTTTATGTTTTTAACCTTCAACTCCCTTTAATAACTTCATCTGAAAGACCAACTGAGGAAGCACTGACTGTACGTAAAGTTCATTGTGGCCATTTAGTACCAAGGTCATTCTGCATATGCCTAGAAAATTAACTTCTGCTTAGAAGGTATATGTATTATTTTTAAATCTGAATTACCAAGCTAGTTGCCCTTATTGAAAGACTAGTTTCAGAGGGATTACAGTAGCTTGCTGCGCAGAAACATTTAAGCTATGAGCTTGGAGTTCTATTCATACGTTTATTAATCATTTCCTTTGCATTGCTGCTTTTTTCAAAGTCTGTCAGAATGCTGTCATTGTACAGAAATAGCTAAAATTTCCTCCATAGCTCTCTGTAGCATAAAAGAGGGAATGCGCAGAATCCTTTACTATCCATAACTTCCCAAATTTTCTGCTCAAATGTTATGCATAATATAAAAACACCTCAATATCTGAGTATGCCTTTGAAAGATCTGTGCTTCTGTAAAAAGGAATTCAGATGGCAAGGTGATGCATTCTTTTCTATAAAATGGATTAATAATACCACTGAATTCACTTTACATCATTTTAAGAAGTACAGCTTTCAAGGAGATTCCATGGCTCCGTATGAGGGCTAATAACTGCTATGGAGCACAGAGCTGTGAAAATCTAGAAGTTCTTGAAAAGTAATCAAATTGCTTAAGAATTACATGCAGAATGGAAGCTTTCATCCTTCTTGTTATATCTCTGCTAACCATGTGATATTTCAGGGAGAAGCTGTTCACATACTATTTTATTCTGCTTTGTCTGTTTCCTGTTACTTATTTCTTTTAATATAATTTATGTAATTTAATAGCCGAAGGTATGTTTCTCTCTGAAAAAGAAAACTATTTGGTGAAATATAAATTCTAAAGCCAAATAAACAGTTCTTCAAGGTATTTCTTGAGGACTGGGACAAGAGAATTTGCGCTACTGGGTTGCATGGACAGCTCTTGCAACATTTGTGATGGTATATGAACCTTTGGAAGTTCAGATATGAAGTAGCCATTTATGGAAGGATTATTCCACGTGAATAAACATTAAAATTATAATAGGAAGGGACATGCCAAGCTCTTCACAAGAGGCTTACAATCTTGAAATTATGAATTTTACATTTCCATGAGAAATGGGGATGCTGTGTAATGTATAAGAAGTTGCACTGAAATATGCCAGAAGACAGTAGATTTTATTCTGAAAGCATTCTAAATGTGCTTACAAATCGTTACACCTAGTATCTCGGAAAATAGGAACTAGTGTGTTTTTATATACAGATACAATTTGTAATACAGTTCTTACTGAATGTTTATGAATTCCGTAAAACTCAAAATGCAATACCATATAGATTTTCTAACCTGCCAAGGAAATAGGAAATCCTAAGCTCAATTAAAGTAATCATACTGTAAATGGCAGTCACAGCACACATTAATGGTAATTTTTTACTTACTAGGCAAACTTTTCTGTAGTTAAAGTGGCAAGCAAAAAAGTATATTGTATTTTAAAGATTGCCCTTTCTGCTTCCAAAAGATGCAAACTGGTTTCTGTTATACTGCTGTCTATATTTCCGGTTGTTTGGTGTGCTGTAACTCCATGGAACTGATATGTCCAGGTGTTGTTAAACTCCTTATTACTGTAACAGCCAACTGGAATAACATTTTCTTGTTTTGTACCAAGAGTTGATCTCTGGATTTAGTTGTGTGCTCTTCTTTGCAATGAAGGAGGTACGTTTTTGCTTCAGAGCTGTATTAAAGATCAGAACTTCTCAGGTTTCCACGTGATAGAATAAGTTTTGGTCCTGATGTCTCTGTTTTTCAGGATTCTAGATCTACCACGGGTTTATGGAAAGTAAACTGCTGTGTAGTGAGGTGGGCATTGTGCAGAAGGCTGTTGTCATGAAAGTATTTCATCTGCAGAGAGAACAGACATTAGTTCTCTCCATTGGCTATGTATACATGTGCTATATTGTATTAATACAAATGTCTGCGTTTTTTCAGGACTTCCAGGATGGGCTTGAATGTCGTCTTATACATATATGCAAAATGAAATTTCTAAAACTGCCCTGAAGTTTAAAGGCTAAAAATTGTAGTCCCATGGAGAATGTTGTAAAATACATCTGGTAACTGGCACATTATGGCAGCTTGAAATATGCATACACAGTCCACATATCTAACCTAGAAATCTGATGGTCAGGGTCAAACTGGAATTAAATGCCTGCAACTCTTACACTAGGAATTCTAATCTTGCTGAACAAGTTGACTGCCATTCTGTTGTAAGCTCTCCTTAGAAAGTCCCTGACTGAAGCAAATAAAATTTAAGCCTTTTAACTGACATTGGTAAACTTTGATTTGTGGCATATGTCTGATAAAATATTTGTAAATGTTCTGTCTTCTATTGTGTCATTCTTTCAAATGAAAGTGAAGTAACAGATTTGTAGTCTGTGCACTCAGTCAAGTGAAGAGTCATGGAAATCATTTAACTAGAAAAATCCGTTTATTGTTTCACATTTGAGTTACAGGGGAAAAAAATAATTTCTATAAGTGCCCTGATAGTTAAAGGTAATGTCTGAAAATACTGAGTCCACAAGAAAAATTAGTTACACATCATTAAGTATAACCATGATGTGCATTTCACCACTCCTTCCACAGGTGTTTTCCATTAGAATATGTCTGCTCCATTCAGACCTATTTTAAGTAAATTCACAAGGAAATGCCTCTTTACATGTTTATCCTGGAAGGGCAGATAGGTGTTTTATTTTATAAAACAGTCTAGAAGTTTTCTATTCTATTCTTCAGATGAAAAAATATTTTTCAGAACATAGTATTGCAGTTTGGTAATGTATTTCTAGCTTCCATTAGAGGCATTTATAATTAAAACATAATAAAATTCATGACACAGAAATGACTGTTTCTTAGAAATACTGTTGAGAGGGGTATTTGCCTGCATAAGCATTTGCGTAAAAATTTTATGTTCATTATATACCCTTTTATTAATATAAAACTCCACTGTTACACTTTTGGTGAGCTTGTAAAATATTATTATGTATTGATACTAGACTTTTAAGGTTATAATGCATCATCTCTTAAATAACATGTTAAAAATGTGTACTGGTTTGCTAGCAATTATCTCATGACAAATACCTGACATCAATAGTTTCCAGTAATAATTTTTAGGTTTGGAAAGCAGCTTAGCTCTTACAGACAAACCTCACGTCTTTCAAACAGTTTACTTGGCTTAGTGAAAAACAGATAAATGGGTTGGGTTGTGACTGAGAATGGTGACAGTTTATACATCTACATATGGACAACTTGGTTGCTTTATTTCAGTGTTCATTTTCTCCTTGAAAAAAAGTTTTGGATTCCAAGAAAATCAGAAGAAACCCGTATTCTGTTTTGCTGTCATTTTGTGGCTTTCAAAGTTCATGCTGTCACAAATGGTTGAAAAAAATACATTTGCTTTCTGCCCTCTGTATGTATAACTGAGAAGTAGTTAAATCATTTAAATAATTAGAACAATTTAAATTCTGCAGCTGTTTAAATGAAATCTTTAAAGTGTGGTGTTACAAAATCTGTAAAGACGGTCTAAGTAAGTGTTGCTTTTATATAGTGGGGTTTTTTTTCAACTTCTTTCCTAGTACTCTTCAGACTGAGAGGAAATATTAGATAATCATGAAGCTAAACATTTCTTATTATTGTAATTTTTTTTTCTTGTCGTGAAAGCAATTAAGGGAGTGCTGTATATGTCATTTAACTGAATCTACGTTCTAAGTCATTTTATAAGTAACTGACTTGCGTGGGTTCTCTTTGTCTGTTTTACTAGCAGACTGTGGTTACAATAATATCAATGTTTTCTCCCAATAGCACCAGCGACTCCTTGACATTTTGGAAGTAGAGAAGGAAGCGTTATCAGAAAAGATAGAAGAAGCTTTGATGCAGCAGTCGAAGAAACACAAGGTATTGCTTTTATTTGCAAGAAAAACGGGGTCTGATCTTAATCATGGAGTTCGTTGGGAATGATCCTGTCACAGTCATTGACAGGAAGAGGAAGCTTTGTCAAGCACTTTTTTCTTTTTGAAATTATTTTTAGCCGCTCCTCTATTGCGAATTGCAGTTTAATTTTTCATAACTTTTACAGGAAGCACTTGACAAATGTTTGGATGAAGAAAGACAAAGAAGTAAGGAGGCTGTGGCAGCTGCTGCACAGGTATCTCTTGTTAAGTAGTAGACGTGCAATGTGGATTCCATGTGTGTCGTTACTATTGTCAAGTTCAGCAACTCCTTGTTTCATAATTAAATTGGTCAAACTCTGTGTTCTCATCTGTGTTTAAAATAAGCTATTTCTATAAATCATGAATATATCTGCTGTATTATAGGTGTATATATATATATATGTATTTTATATATATATATATTTGTATATATAGAGGGCTGGAGCACCTCTCCTACAAGGACAGGCTAGGGGGGTTGGGGCTGTT